ATAAACAACTGCAAAAAAAAAAAAATCACAACAGTGTTTTAAAAACAGATTGTCGGTTCAGTTTGCTTGTGCCTACCTTCCCAGAAAAGTCAGGGGGTGCCCGCCGCTGTAGAAGTAGTTTTGCCACGTCCAGGTTACCATATTTTGATGCCACATGTAAAGGTGTGAACCCTTTCTGTAAATATTTAAATGCAGAATACAGATAAATCAACTAATCCTTGTAAAACATGCTAACCTAAATGAATGTACATTACATTAAACACAATACTAATATGCAATTTATTATTTTTCTTTTATTATTTTCTATCAGCTACCATACTGTCAGGTGGACAACTGCCCTGGGCCCTGTGACAAGATGGTCATACTAAAAATGTTTTGAGATAGATGAGTGTATAGAGGCTGGGCCCAGTGAATTGAAAGCATAGCTCTGGCTGTCAAACGGTTCTGCTTGCTCTTTACTAGATGATTCAGATGTAGTTTTTGGTAGTCAACAGAGAGACAGTGAGTCCTTATACAGAGGAATCTGAACATAGTACTGTCTGGTTAATGTGTACTAACTGTAGGTTAACACAGTTTAATGACAGTAACAATAACTGCAGTATGTTAATAACTGTCTACATTTATAGTTAATTATAGTTATAATAGTTAATAGTCCTTGAAACTATGGTTTGGAAACCTTGGCAAATTTAAAATAGTTGCACATCTCTATTAAGAGCAACTGGCAAGGTAATAGTGCTTAATCAAGTCGTTGATTAATCTGCAATAATAACAGAAAATATTACAAATATTTTTTTCAGTATTACCATTACAGCACTGATTTGTAACTTTACTTACTAAAAAACATTCTAATGTCTTTCTGAAATAGCTCTTAAGAGTGCTCTCTGCGCACGAGGTTACGAACGCTCGCCGCTATTCTACGTGCGTTTCCCAAAGTCGTGGCCTAATGGTTAGAGAGTCGGACTCCTAACCCAAAGGTTGCGAGTTCGAGACTTGTACTGGCAGGGATTGTAGGTGGGGGGAGTGAATGTACATCACTCTCTCCCACTCAATACCACGACTGAGGTGCCCTTGAGCAAGGCACCGAACCCCCAACTGCTCCCCGGGCGCCGCAGCAAAAATGGCTGCCCACTGCTCCAGGTGTGTGTTCACGGTGTGTGTGTTCACTGCTGTGTGTGTGCACTTTGGATGGGTTAAATGCAGAGCACTAATTCCAAGTATGGGTCACCATACTTGGCCACATGTCACGTCACTTTCACTTTTCACTTCACTTTCAAAAATGCACTTAACATGAACACTCAAGAACGCGTTCTACATGCTACTTAAGAGTCGCTGTCCATTTGTCAAGTGCTGAAATATGACCTTATAGAACTGTATCCATGAACCTAATAGTTGTCACCTGATGTGGATCAGAAAAAAAAAACTTTAAAAAAGATGAAATTACTGTTCTTCTGGAGGAGGTTGAGTGAAAAAAAAAGTCATTTTCAGCAGATTTAAAGATTTAAACACCATACAAATAAGGAAAAACAAAATAAAATAAATTAACTGCAACCAGGGGTGTTAAGGGATCAGGGAAGAGGTCCGCAAGAAGTGGCATGACTTTGCAAGCCTGGCAAAAAGGAAGGGCACTGCAGAGGTTGGCAATTAAAAAAAAAAAAAACAGGTGGTTGGACCAATGACTCCCCACTTCTCATACCAGAGGAAGAAAAGGACTTGTCAATACTTCAGATGGCATTTGTGGTGGTATTGACCTCCATGGAGTAGGGATGCCTCAACCTGAGCCTGAGTCAGGTCCTTCATGCTCAGAGAACTATCAGTTTCCCCTGCCATCTCCAAGCACCAACTAACTCCTAGTCCTCCAAATAACCCTCTCAGGCCTCAGCCTCCATCTTCAATTGTCCAGAACGTAGCCACAACACCTCAGCAGTTTGAGAATATATGTGACCCTGGAGCATAAAACCAGTCTTAAGTCACTGGGGTATATTTGTAGATAAAGCAAAACATACATTGTATGGGTCAAAATTATTGATTTTTATTTTATGCCAAAAATCATTAGGATATTAAGTAAAGATCATGTTCTGTGAAGATATTTTGTAAATTTCCTACTGTAAATATACTAAAAACCATTTTTGATTAGCAATATGCATTGCTAAGAACTTCATTTGGACAATGTGGCGAGGGGGGCGTGGGAAGGCAAAAGGCTGCAGTGGGAGACAGGGTTTGGAGACGAGCTGTGATAAGGAGGTCAAGTGAATAATGATTAACACCTGTTTGTAATTCCAGTGATTGGGGGAGAGACTGGACATAAGCGCCCGCAGACCTGGGAGAAGCGGTGATTGAGAGAGAGTTGGAGCAGGGTGCGTTGTGTTGCCGTAGACAAGACTGTGAAGGCAGAGAGCCAAGCAGCACTTATTCTTTGGTTTACTTTTGCTGTGGGGACCAATAAAGAGGTTTTCCCGCCACCCCTGACTTCCTCGTCCTTCTTCCGAACTACGAACTGTATTACAGACAACTTTAAAGGTGATTTTCACAATATTTAGATTTTTTTGCACCCCCAGATTTCAGATTTTCAAATAGTTGTATCTCGGCCAAATGTTGTCATATCCTAACAAACCATACATCAATGGAAAGCTTGATATATAAATCATCTCTAATTTACCCTTATGACTGGTTTTGTGGTCCAGGGTCACATATGTGGTTGTAGTCAGGACTGCAACTGCAGCTGGAGAGATCTCTTGAAAGACTTTAGGCAATGTCTTAAGGAGGCTAATAAGACAACAACAATTTTCAACAGAAGCTCATTGACTCAAATAAATACAACCATGTTGATTCAATGTTTTTGATGTCCATGTGTTTGTTGAACTACCCAAGGCCTATAAGCCACAAATGAAATAAGAATTCTTACGAGTTCTTCCAAGCATTTCTGGAGTGAACGATTAATGGTTGATGGTTATTTTCAAACATAAACATGTAAGTTTAGACATTATTCATATATAAAGTGTATATATTAAGGGTGATAAGAGCACAAATATTTGTACTTCATCTAGCCAATACATTTCTACAGGTACAGACAAAAAAGTTTATTGCAGACATGTTTTATCAGCACTGTTCGATGTATACATATTTATGTGTATTTTTATTTTTTCCTTTTTAATTATTTCATTTTTAAATTAATTTAAACAATAAAAGAGTAATAAAGAGAAGTACAATCAAAACCTTATATTACAATCACATTGCACTTGAGTAAAGTTAAAGGTGCAATCTGCCGGTTGTCCTGCAGGTGACCTCATAACTCTCTCTTCTTACGATGCACTTAGGGCTTTACGATTACTGCAGAGCACTCGTAGTTCTACGATGATTTTCAAGTGAATCTTAAGTTACGATGCTTTTGGGAAACATACCGTTATACTAAGATCAGTCGTACAATTGTTTTTCTTATCTACTTAGGCTTACGATGCTTTTGGGAAACGCAGCACAGGTTTCTTAACTAGCATGCTTATGTGGTGAACCAGCTTCATCAGCTTTGTTTTACTGGATATGTTGATCCACCAGCTATAACAGCACCAAAACAGCACTAACTGGCCTGAACTAACCTGAATCCAGAATGGGAAAACATCTTATGGTCCTAAGTTAACATACACTTGGCAGAATTTGCAAAACATTAATCATTTTAATTAAATTAATTAAATTTTTTAAAATTACTGCCACGAACGAATCCACAAGGAAATAATCTTCTGCATATTTGACACCTTTTCAACAGTGACTATATGATTTTGAGATAAATCAATGAATGTTTTTTTTTTACACTTTGGACAAGTTAAGTGACTCAACTATTACAATTGGTGCAATCATTCATTTATGCTGAAGAAGGCAAATCTCTTTAACTGTATGATAGGTGTATGTTGTTCTTATTTCATTTAAAAAAAAAAATTTTTTTCAGTTAGTACTGTTCTTCAAAGGCTACATGTTTCCCAGAAGAAAAAAAACTTTTGCAGATTCTGAAAGGTGTATGTAAACTTATAACCACAATGATACTGGTCTAAACAGGGTTTTTTTTCAACAGAAAGGTAAAATCTGGCTATCACCGACCTTGGTAGCTAAAGAGTGAGAAGCACCAGCCTCCAACAACACTGAAGTAACGTCCAGATGTCCCTCTCGTGCAGCGATATGAAGGGCGGTGTAACCATTAGTGGTTGCTGCATCTGGATGAGCCATGTGTTGTAGCAGGAGCTGGACAATCTCGGTCTTACCCAAACGAGATGCAATGTGAACCGGAGTCTGATCCTCCTGATGGGTGAGAAGAGTGATATTGGTACATATAGGCACATTTTGAGTAAATATTGTGTTAAAGTTTCAAGTTTAATTTTAGCAGTTTGGTGTATGTCTCATTTGTTGTCATTACATTGTATTATATATGGGCTAAATATCTGCATTTTGTCAGCCTTTGGCCACCCTGCTCTCACAGACCCTTAAAAGTGTATAGTAGTTGCTCACTCCTTATGCCAGTGCAATGCAGTTGGAATACCTATTTCCCCTCTAATAAGACAGGAGGATTGCACAATTCTCAATATTAAGTGAACCCTTTCACTGCCGAACCATGCCTTTGTCTTACCCTTGCTCTTGCGTCCACCATGGCTCCATTCCTCAGAAGACAGCGAACAACTTCCATCTGTCCAGCACGGGCAGCCATGTGCAAAGCTGTTTCTCCACGCTGTGACAGAATACAGAGGGAATATTTAATACTCTAGAACAGACATTTCTAACCTTTTTTCTTAGCTGAACCTCCATGGTTTAAATAATTGACTTACAACACAAAGCCTAGGCCTAGCATAGGCATCTTAATTAACCTGCCTCTTAAGATACTTTAAGTCAGCATTAAAAATATGCTTTAATTGAAAAGGCATTTCTAGAATGCTTTGCACCATACTTAAATGTCCTTCAATAGGGGAGAGTGGGGTAAGTTGAGCCAGTGGGTAAGTTGACCCACCCCCTGTATCTTGGCAACTGTACACTTTTACTGTCATGTGACCATGTATTTTGGAACCACCTATCATTTCTGTCAGACTGTGAAAAGGAGAAACACATGGGAGGAGTGAAAGATACCCATTTACGCCCATAAATTGTTTTTGGTTTGTCAAAGTAAAATTTTAGCATGCCAGATGTAATTGCTGTTACATCAAAGCAAATGTATCCAGGTCTACAAATATTTATGATGTACAGTATATAGGTGATTTAGCAACATATAAAACCATGTAAATAATTTAGCTAAATATTAGCCTGAATTGGTAAGCTAGCTAGTTTTGTTTTTCCAAAATATCAGCTATGGGGCAAAGTGAGACAGCATTTTAACTTACCCCACCATAAGGCACTGAAGTTAAGTTAAATCTCTTGCTATTTTATTGTGATATTACGCAACTGGTTTAGTAAACTATAAACTATATGAACTATTATTATATTATTCAAACCAAAAATTATTCAGACACCTTCAACATTTCACACATTATCACAGTTTATTCACTATAGTTTAGAAAATGGTAATAAAATATGAGAAGAAGAAGATATATATATATTTATATTTGTTTGTTTGTAGTTTATTTGATAGGGACATTGTACAAGTGCACCAAATCCTTCTGCAACTATGGTGTTCAACATATTGTTTCAGAAATGCAAACAATTAAAGATTGAAATTTAAACTTCATTTGGTTGTTTTAATGTTGTTTAAGTTAGCTTTAAAAAAAAAAGAAAAAAAAGAAATATGACTGTACATGTACATTCACTCCCCCCACCTACAATCCCTGCCAGTACAAGTCTCGAACTCGCAACCTTTGGGTTAGGAGTCCGACTCTCTAACCATTAGGCCACGACTTTGGGAAACGCACGTAGAATAGCGGCGAGCGTTCATAACCTCGTGCGCAGAGAGCACTCTTAAGAGCTATTTCAGAAAGACATTAGAATGTTTTTTAGTAAGTAAAGTTACAAATCAGTGCTGTAATGGTAATACTGAAAAGGTTTGTAGAAGGAAATTTGATTATTAAATAAGTTTTTAAAAGAGGTAAATTATCTTTAAAATTGCACATGGGTTTGAATCAGATTCAGTCAGATGGTCAGTTTACACCCAGATGGTGCATCTTACCCACTGACTCGGGTTAACTTACTCCTAACCAGGGTCAAATTGAGCCACAGGAACACTTTTTTTTACAAGAAGCTATATTTATAGAACCCTTTGTCATAGATACATTCTGATAATTTAAAATGATAGGAAACATCTTGAAATTACTTTAGATACTTTCATTATACTTTTGCCTCATTTTCCCTTATCGTGAGGACCACATAAGTTAAAAAAACAGCTCATCTTACCACACTCTCCACTATACTGATGGATATTAATAAAAAATATTTTTTTATGCATAGTTTCATTTAGCAAAATGTGAGTCATGCTGTACCTGTGCCTATGTAGAACATTCCACATTGACCACTTTTAAGATTCCATGATGGAAGACAGACAGCTCACTGTTTACTCACTATGTTGCTAACATCAGGGGAAGCTCCATTCTGCAGTAGTAAAAGAACAATGTTGAGGTGACCCATGAAGGCTGCCACATGGATTGGTGTGAGACCAGACTAGAGAGAGAGAGAGATGACAACAACAACAGCCTGATTATCTAAATCAAATAAATTAACACACTTAATCTACAAACTGTTTCTACCAAATAAGCACATATTTTTATTACATTAATTATACAGTATATAGTTGTATTGTGATTATACTGATATGTAGTATAGATCAATAAAATGAACAGACCCAAACCAGATCTATCATGTTTTTCTATGCTGATTGTGCAGGGGGAAAAATCAGAATGTGGTAAAATATGTTGAACAAAGCTGAAACAAAACTTTTATTACTAACTTTATTAAATTAGTCAGAATATTTAATAAAAATTAAAATAAAATAAGCATGCAAGACTGGAGGATTAGCAAAACTTTGCATTTGAATTCTGTTGGAACCATCTCGGTTATACTATATACCCTTGTTCCCTGAGTAGGGATGAGAAGCTGCATCAGTAGCTGACACTATGGGAACATTTGGTCAGGCATAAAACAGTGATTTTGTCCAAATTTGACATGATGCATGACGACATTGTGGGGGTTGCCCTCTTTTTCCTCATCAACAGGTCAGAGATGATTTTCTTAAACCAAAGGCCGGGAAGACTTAACAGTCAGGTCAATGCCCAATGCATGGTTGCTGGTATGCCATCAGGTGAGGACATACACCCCAGCCTTTCGGAGGGGGAGGGCAGACAATTTCACAACTTTTCTGCTCCTCTTTATGACACTGGAGAAAACCACAAGAACGACCTAGCAAACTCTCGAGCCTCTAAGGGAATGAACTGCTTGAAAGTAACTGAGTGCTGCTTTGCCATGTGGAATTTTTTGAAGACAGCACTCAACACATTGCAAAAAAGCACAGAGATGCCGGACAGGGGTGTTGAGCAGAAAGGTATTTTCCTTCTCTCTAATCTCTGTGAGATTGAACTACAAGATGCCTCTTTGTCGCAATCAAACCTGCCATGGAGAGACTGATTGTACAAATCATATGATTTGTGACTCGAAGCACCAGATCAGCTGCACACCGGAGCTGTTTGACCGCCTCAGGGGTCGGACCAGCCCCTTTGACCATATCCTTAAGGACGTCCGCTTAGTATGCCTGTAGCCATATAGGACTTGCCAATCAGGACAAACATTGTCTTACAAGGATTAGATGGAAAGGCAGGTTTTGTTTTCCAAGATTGGACCAACGATGGTGAGATATATGCCACCAGCATCTCTTCAAACTTTGAAATATCCATTTACCCTTGCTCCACTAAACCCATGATGGTGGTAAATTCAGAAGTAGCCGGATTAGTGATACAATCACTTCGAAGATCTTGATAAATCATTATGGAAATCTAGAAAGTGGATGCAAATTACAACCAGGCAGAAATCACTTATCCAACTTAGACTACTCTTCCTGCTGGTCAGTATTTAGCCAGTTCAGCTCTAGCCAGTTCAAAGCACATGAAACCACCTCAGTAAGCTCTTTAAAGGCAAAAGAAGTCAACCTCAGAAACAAAAGAAAGTAAAGCCGAGAGTGAAGCACTTTAACTCGAAAATTGTCACAGTGCACAAATTCAGAATTGCCACTGACGTGCCATTTGAGTGAACCTATAAAAGGGAGCTGCAGGAACCTATTTTTGAGAAATTCTGCATGAATAACTGAATAAATCACTGCAACTTTATAATGTACAGTATATATATATATATATATATATATATATATATATATATATATACTCAAGTGAGACGAAATACCTCCGTGCTGCTCTTATGGGAGTGTAAGTCTCTGTGCTCATACCTCAGTGATAGCTTGAATGAATGCTCCGTATTTGATCAAGAGCTCCATCACTTTGACTCTGTTTTTCTTACAGGCAATGTGCAGAGGAGTGAAACCATTCTAAAAAGAAACAACCAGCAAGAAGAAGGTGTAAGATTATAAAAAAACTTTATAGCGCAAACAAGACTCACAATAAGAAGAATGCATGTACCAATGCTCGAGCATTCGGGTTGGCTCTCATGTCTAGTAGAAGTTTGGTAACTCTGTAGTGACCACAGTGAGCAGCAACATGGAGGGCTGTCAGGTAGTCCAGTGTGACATCATCAACAGGTGCCTTGTGCTGCAGCAGGTGTTTGACACACTCCAAATGGTCACCTTGCGCTGCCATGTGGAGTGGAGATAAACCATTCTAGACACAACAAGGGTAAATTAAAAAAGAAAGAAAGGAAAAAAAACATAGATGCATCACATATTAGTTTGTATGTGTAATATTTCTGAATGTTTTGATAACCTAAATAAAGCATTTTTAAACTTTGAAACTTTAGGAGAGATAAAAGAAAACAGTTTTTGGTAGGGGATGAGTTACAATGTAAAATAATGCATTACATTATTGAATTACTCTTTTTCAAAGTAACTAACAAGATTTTGCAGCATTCAGAATTGAATTGACAATTCCTGAAATGAATAAAAACGAAACAAATTTGATATGCCTATTGAAATTGGCATTTATTTCTTTTATGTTACTGTGTTGAATTTTTTTCGAAACTGCTGTTTCTCTGAATTTCCCTTTGTGTTAATTATTGTGCTAATTATTTTAAGGAAGTTCCCTTTCAGTCGGTCACTCTCGACGTCACGTCGGATGACCGACGAAATTGGGATCTCGCTTAGAGAGACCAATCTACTTTGAGTGTAAACTAAATGAGCCAATGCACATTGGCTTGCGATTATTGCATCCAGCTGCCGCTGATCACAGCGTGAGTATAAGTAGGCAGCAGATGCAGCGCATATTCAGCTTTTCGCTTCGGAGCCGAGCGATCACATCGTTCTGCTCCTGACTACTCTACTGAGAGAAGAAGACTGAAGGAGTTCAGCGCGCTCTTGGAGAGCTCTTCGTGTTGGCGGTACGGCGCTTCAGCGGTGGTGGTTTCCCGTGTCGAGTGGGTTGCACACATCAGGCTGCACTACCCCCTGTTTGTGTTGCAGATGATCATCTCCCCTGTGTGCCTCAGCACGCTGGAATAGCTTTTTCCCCCTAAAAGAGCAATTTCGGGTGCGTCTTTTTAAAGACGACGTTGCGTGGCAAACTTGACGTTACGTCTTTGTAAAGACGATGTGGGTCTTGCTATAGACAACGTTTCTGGATGCGGTCGTTACCTGGCGCTGGGTGATGGTCACGACGAAATTGGGATGCTGAGATGCTGCCTCACGTGCCTGGGCATGTAGAACGCTGAGGTGGTGTTTGTGGATGAGTCATCTTCTCATTGCGGGAAGATGATCATCTCGGAGTCACGGGCCAAGCTCCGTTTCCTCAAGGGGCGGAGTCCGTAGAAGGGAGGTCACTGGGGAAGCATGACCTGGTCGTCAGGTTCCTTAAGGGGGCGAGAAGGCTAAATCCTCCACGGCCCCCCTCTATACCCTCTTGGGACCTGACTCTAGTGCTCACAGCACTACAGCAGGCCCCATTTGAGCTTTTGCAGACGGCCGAGCTGAAATTTCTTTCGATGAAGACTTCTGCTGGCATTGGCCTCCATCAACAGGGTAGGGGACCTGCACGCATGTTCGGTCAACGATTCGTGCCTAGAGTTCGGGCCGGCTGACTCCCAGGTAACCCTGAGGCCCCGGCCCGGCTATGTACCCAATGTTCCCGCTACTCCCTTCAGGGATTAGGTGGGGAACCTCCAAGCGCTGCCCTCGGAGGAGGCAGACCCAGCCTAGCTTTGCTCTGTCCTGTCCGAGCCTTAAGGTGATACGTAGACCAGACGCAAAGCTTCAGGACCTCAGACCAGCAGGTGGCTTCCACAGGACACTGGAAGGGGCAGTAGCTGTGGCCTTTTGCTAGGATCCCAATTTCGTCGGTCATCCGACGTGACGTCGAGAGTGACCGACTGAAAGGGAACTGTAAGCAGTGCAACTCCTAATGGTGTATAGACACTGCATGCAAGTATGATGGTGGGGCAATCACTTGTCCACAGCAAAAAAATACCACTTTACCATTTAGGAAGCAGGTATTGTACTATTGTTCTGGAGGAGAGATTGCCTCAACCAGGTGACATAAGAAATAGTTATTAATAAACGTTAACAGTAGCATGATAACGTCTCGGTTACGTATGGTAACCCTCATTCCCTGTAAGAGGGAACGCAGACGTCACGTCCCGTCGCCATAGCTCCTGTACCACTGCTGAGCGGCCGGGTCACCGGCTCGGCTCCTCAGCCTACTTATACTCACGCTGTGATCAGAGGCAGCTGGATGCAATAATTGCATGCCAATGTGCATTGGCTCGTTTAGTTTACACTCGAAGTAGATTGGTCTTTCTAAGCGAGATCCCAATTTCGTCGGTCATCCGACGTGACGTCTCCGTTCCCTCCTTCAGGGAGCGAGGGTTACCATACGTAACCAAGACGTTATCATGCTACTGTTAACTTTTACTAATAACTTTTTCTTATGTCACCTGGTTGAAGCAATCTCTCCTCCAGAGCAATAGTACAATATGCTTCCTAAATACAAAGTGGTATTTTTTTGCTGTGGACAAGTGATTGCCCCACCATCATACTTGCATGCAGTGTCTATACACCATTAGATGTTGCACTGCTTACAGTGTTGACAGCTTTGGTGATTATAATAGTAGTTATATTACATGTCTTTGTATATGTTGCACTGTATACAAAGTGTCATGTTATGGGAAGGGAGAGATTTTCAAAGCTAAAACAGACATTACTTAGTAATTCAGGTATTAGGGTGTAATTTCAAACAGTAACTTAAAACTTTACCCTTTACCTCCAACAACACATTACACTTAATTTGCAGAATTTATTTTTTTAATATAAAAACAAAAACATGTTATATTATAAAAGTCCTCATTTCGATAGCTACCTTGGTTCTGGCCAGCATAGGGGCTCTTCTCTCCAATAAGAGCTCCACTGCTGTGTCATGCCCACTTCTTGCTGCACAGTGTAAAGGTGTGAGGCCATCCTGCAACACAGACACTCTCACCTTAAGGTCTCATCAGTAATTTCATAAAGCACTTTGGAATTTGAAACACCTCACAAATGTGATCCTGGACCACAAAACCAGTCTTAAGTCGCTGGGGTACATTTGTAGCAATAGCCAAAAATAAATTTTATGGGTCAACATTATCGATTTTTCTTTTACGCCAAAAATCATTAGGATATTAAGTAAAGATTATGTTCCATGGAGATATTTTGTAAATTTCCTACCGTAAATATATAAAAAATTATTATCATTAGTAATATGCATTGCTAAGGACTTCATTTGGACAAATTTAAAGGCGATTTTCTCAATATTTTGATTTTTTTTGCACCCTCAGATTCCAGATATTCAAATAGTTGTATCTCGGCCAAATATGGTCCTATCCTAATAAACCATACATCAATGAAAAGCAGATTTATTCAGCTTGTACAAATGTATAATTCTCAGTTTTAAAAAATTGACCCTTATGACTGGTTTTGTTGTCCAGTGTCACAAATGTGACATTATATACATTCTCCTCAACCCCTACACACTTAACTATAGTTTCTCTCCTGTGTCTTTTATACTCAGTGTTTTCATCATTGCTTATAGCACATAAAAAGCACTGTTGAAGTCAGTAACAACAGAGTGTGTACGATTATAATGATTCATGTAACAGGCTTAGAAGACTTCTGACTGCTTATTGGATCATCTGAGTGCTTATTGGATTGAGACTTTCAATTAATTAAGGTTCCCAGTTCAAGTCCAGGCTGAGCCAGCAGGCCTTTCTGTGTTGATTTTGCATGTTTTCCCTGTGTTGGCATGGGTTTCCTTCAGGTGCTTTGGTTTTCTGTACAATCCAAAGACATGTAGGTCAGGGAACTGGTGACACAAATGTGCCTATAGATTGGGAGTGTGAATGTGTGTTTTGTCTGTGTTAGCCCTGTTATGAACTGGTCATCCAAATACCTGTAGTAGCACAGCAGTGCATACCTGTTTACATTTAATTAAGGTGGACTAGATTAGACTGTAATACAAATAGTTGAGTTTGCCAGGTGCATACATCATTTATGACAGGTTTTCATGAAAGTGTTGGTCAGTTTGTCTGCTTGACAATCCCAGTTTGCACTGCAACAATAAAACTGAAGTGAGATAAACAAACTGAGAAATGCTTCTTTTTAGTTAAAACAGATGTCAAAGTTTTCCTTTGGGGACATAATTTGAAGTTGGAAAAAGGTAATAAATTGCAATATATCGCAGAATATCGCAATATATTTAAAACCGCAATAATATTGCATCGTGACACAAGTATCGTGATAATATCGTATCGTGAGGCCTCTGGTGATTCCCACCCCTAGCAGGTATAAGGTTGATTTTAATCATTTATTTTATATTAGTTATTTATTTTCAATAAGGAAGGTCAACCAGTGTAAAACATGCCAAAACTATGTGCTGATAATTCTGCTGTGGTGCAGACAACAGCAGCCAAAGTAGAGAGAGAGTTTCTTATTTTCAATAGGTCATTTTTACTGTTTATTAAGTAGTCTGATATGAAGTAGATTATGCTTTTAAGAGCAACTTTTACAAAACATAAACATAAATTAGATCTAAGCATAGCATACTTTTTTTCTATTGCTAACTGACATCTGGCTCATATCAGACTCATAAAAATGCTAGTCATCTCAGCTATGTGTATACATTATGTACAAAACTAAAGTAATAACTAATTGTTACTAACCCGTGTTTTGGCATCAATCTGAGCCCCTCTGTCCAACAGCAGATTAACCATATTTGTGTTTCCCCTCTTAGACGCAACATGTAGTGGCGTGATCCCATTCTGTACAGACAAAAGAAACATTTTTATATAAAAAAGCAGTGTGCTGTCTTTAGAAATTACTTGAGTTGACAATCCTCTTTATAATTGATGGATTTATTTTAATCTAATGTAGAATCGTGAGCTTTGTCTAAAATGTTTACAACTTGGATTGCACATAATTTCCAATAAAAAAGGTTTTAAATCTGTAATCATTTCCATAACTATATAATTTTAGATAGCTGTTAATTTTGGTCTCAACTCTCATCAGATTCATAAATGCAAAAATAATTTTCAATGACCATTTTAAGTTTTAAATTCTTAGTTTGTGTATTGTATCTTATAGTGGTATTATGAAGCAGTTTTAATATTAAATGTACAAGTGCTTAAGGAAGTCAAGCTCATGTACATGCATGTAAAAGCTGTAAACACTCACCCTTGCAGTGAAGTTCACAGCAGCCCCTCGATTGAGGAGCAGTGTTGCGACATTCCCATTTCCATAATGAGCAGCGATATGCAGGGGTGTGAATCCACTCTACAAAAATAATTAAAAAAGGGGACGGGACACAAGAAAAATAAATAAATAAAAACATAAGATATAAGCCAACATTCCTAGCATGCTTTAGAGCCAAGCTGTCAATAAATACATATCTGAAAACAGCTAACCTCGCCTATACAACCATGTCAACTTACAATTAAAAAGTGGTTTCAGATCTGCAATTAGTGGCATCTTCAACTCCAGCCAAAAACTGCAACCCTGACTTTATCTTGTTCTAATAGACTACATTAGCATGCAGCAGTCACATGTAGTATCACATACAAGTATAAAATGGACAATTATGGAAACGGATTGAGCTCATTGTTGCCTCAAAGGCAGCTTGGGTCCCATGTGAAGAAGTCTGAAAAGAAACCTTAAACTTGAAGTTTGACAACTAATACATACATAAACATACACAAATAAACTTCAGGAGAGGTCAAACTCTAGACAGAGGCATGCAAACAAACAAACAAACATACAACAACAACAACAACAACAAAAAAACGAAAATTTACAAATAAATAAGATTAAAATAACAAGCAGTTGTTAACAGAACATGACAAAAGACACATTTCAGATGACGTACAGTTTTCGTATAACAGAAACAAGGGGAACATAATCAAAGAATAACACCAAAGAAAACATAAAGGTATCAAAAAACAAAAATGCAGTATGCAGATAATATCAGTAATATAATCATGTCTGGACTATAAGAAGGTAAAGATTGTAGAGGAGAGTTTGAATATGTGAAATTCTTGCCTTACCTTCCCATTCTGAAAGTCACGGTCCGATTTAATGTGAAAACATCATTTACAAAAGTGTGAAGAATATATTGACTGTGTGAAACACGTTCAAAGCTGGTGCAAAATCAAATATGTGATGCAGCATGCGGTGCAGTGGATAATTAAAACTTAATAAAAACTTTGCAAATGGCAAATCGCCTGTGAAGATTAAAGAGATCTGAAAGTGCATTATTTCAAAGTACATAATTACTGTATATAGACCACTAACTACAAAACCTTGATTTTAAACATACGTTTAAAATATTTAACATGTATAATATTGCATTGTGCTGTTAGCATTCAAACATCCAGCTGTGTATCACATAATCATTCATCGATAATATCAATAAAATGCATAATCATATCAAAACATCATAACTGATAACGCTAAAACAACAACAGTTTAATAATTTATTTGCCACCTGCAAACTTTCAAACATGATTTCTGTAGGATGTATGGATGTTGAAAAAGAATGATTAATCTTAGCACAGGCTATATTATATTATAGTAATATATTATAGATAGCTTAATGCAATCACACTAATGCATGCTGGGAGTAGAGCAACTTTTGTTAAAAGGCAAATTCATGCCACTGAGGTCTATTTGACCTTTAGGTAAGAGTAATGAAATAAATGGCCCTTTTAATAAAGCCATGTGACTGGCTTCCCTATTGGCTTGTATATATTTCAGTAAAGGCAGCAAGCAAAGCCAATATAGGACAGTGTTGTGCACTTGTCTGAATATTTTTATTAATTCTACTTGAAACTAATGAATTTAAAAAGACTGATAATTCTTTTTTTTCTACATAACTTTAAGACAATTGATATGAATTATATACACACAGTACTTTTGCATTAACAGCTGTTATGTCAGTGCCCTTGCATCTTAAAACTGACTGTAGGTAAAGGCTGAAATATTAATTCCTGATGAGGAGGATTATAGATGTTAGGAGGATAGACACTGTCTGGATTATTGACTTTCAGCCTGTCTCAAATTAAACGACAGCAGCATTCACGGCACTGGATATAACTTAAAAACATTCTCATTCAATACATTTTATAAATAAAACTGAAATTTCTGACGTGACATATGCAAAGGGTGGATGATGCTGTGAATGAGACTAACCAGATATGCAAGGTTCAAAAGAACTAAAAATGCTGAGTTAACAAACAGAAAATATCAATTCTGCATGCCAAAAAGAGGATCAGAAATGGACGTAATAAATCAATAGTTTTTTATTTGCCAAAAAAAAAAAAGAGTAACTACATAAATATCTCTACCTCAGTTGTCCTATTGACCATCATCTGTTGCAGCAAAACAGGGAAGGAAATAGGCTTGTTATATTTCAATCAAACACATTTGAGGTTGATAGCGTCTGCATGCACATTTTGCCAGAGAAGCATGAGGTCTTCATTTTTCTCTGAGGGACCATATCAATTATCCAGCCTGCCACTAAAAACACATTCTTAAAGGTATACTAACTCACAGGAGATGACAAATGGTAAGAGGTTACTTGACCACTCAAATCATATTATTTACATAAAACATCCTATAACCACTTTCAGTTGCAAAATAAATTAACCCTTGAAATACATACTCTTGTGAATACAATAGTTTTATGGTGGTCTTGGCACAGGAACCAGCTTTTGTGTGATGCTGCATCTATGTTAATAGCTGTCAAAAGACAGGACTACTAGAAAATCATAAACAAAATCACACATTTAACTTCCTTATGATTAAATATGAAATACTTTGATGTTCTATATTTACAGGAATCTATAATGAATTGTAAATTAGACTAGACTAAAACTAGCTCAAAACTGTGCCTCAAAAGTTGACAACAGTAATACATAAATATTAACATTTAATCTGGCATTTAAGCCAACAAATGACTAAAATTATTTTTACATGAATCACTTAACAACTATTTTGTTTCGAAAACTGAAACTAAAATTAAACTAGAACATTTTTCATCATCAAAAACATTCTGAATGCTGCATGTTTTTCTTTGAACTAAAATTAAAACACCACTTATAGTACAAATCATTGGCCATTTTTAAAGAAAAATAAATACCTCTATTAGCACCCCCCCTCCCCCCAAAAAAGAAAACATTCAGTCTCAAACACAAACACACCGCACACAACAGACATGCATGGACACTTTCATGCAAATGTAGTGAAAAGATGTGCATCTGTGCACATTCATTTTGCAAGTGCATGCTGTTTCTGCATATTTACAGTCAGTTATGGTATACACTAAGAAGTGAATGTTTTTACAACTGATAAAATAGAGTAATGGGTAAGTAGATAAAACAGTGAAACCCGGAGAGTGTCGGGATGGAAACACATGATGCAGGCACATTTATACTGTAGAGAGAAACAAAGAAATGCAGAGAGACAAACACAGACAAAAGATTTCATCTGGCACAATAATGGAAGACACTAAAAGCATCCTGAAACTAAATAAACAGTTTTACAAGAACAGTGTGACAAGATGCTGAATCTTTAACAGTCTGTTAGTAGCTACATGCAGAGTAGGGGTGGGAATCATAATGTGCGAAATTAATTAGATGATTTGTTTCAATTGGTGCTAACAATGTACTTAAACAAAAACTACTACTTTTCAACATTTTTTTCCAGAGTGTTTAATTAAAATACCAGTTATTATGACAAAACTGTTCTGAATGTGTAACTACCAACTCAATCAACGAGTAAGTCATTAGTCTGATTCAGACTGCAACTGTAGTCACATGCAAAGCATGCAAAATTACAGACCCCACAACCCCCATCCAATCACGCAGCTTTTAAGTTTGTGTATTTATTTAATTATTTTTCAATTCAGCTGAGAGATTGATCAAATTGCACAGGTCAGAGATCACAAAAAAAAAAACTATTTTTTTGCAAAAAAAAAAAAAAGGCGTATCTTGCTAAAAATGTGCAGCAGAATCCTGACAGTTCTGTTCAAAAGGAAGTCAACCGAGGAAATACCTTTAATTAAAAAAATTGCTGGACATTCGGAAGTACACACCACCTGATATTTCACCGGTTTTCGACTATTCGGATGTTTTGCTGGACATTGTTGTCGGGGGAGCTGCGGCGCTGATCAAGCGCTTCAGGAAGCGCAGACGGAGGAAGCGAGCCAGCGTGCTCGTGAGGCTCAGACAGCGCAGATTCAGAACGCCGTTGCCTAGCATCCATCTGGCGAACCTCCACTCTCTACCCAACAAAACGGACAAACTTCTTCTGCTCTCCCGGACAAATAAGGATTTTTCAAACTCTGCTGCTCTGTGTTTCACGGAAACCTGGCTGAAAGACGCCATTCCGGACAGCGCGTTGAGTCTCCTGGGCTTTCAGCTGTTCAGTGCAGACCGCGACGCAGAATCAACAGGGAAATCACGCGGCGGCGGGACATGCTTTTACATCAATGAGAGGTGGTGTACAGATGTAACTGTGTTAAAGAAGATGTGCTGTTCAGATCTAGAAGTGCTCTTCATTAACTGCAAGCCGTTCTATTCGCCGCGGGAGTTTTGCATGTCAGACCAGGGACTTATGTGAGGATCCTGATCGTGGACTTCAGCTCGGCCTTTAACACAAACCTCCTCCTGCCCAAACTCACTCTTTGAACTGTTGCCATCTGGTCGACGCTACAGAGCACTGAGCACCAGAACGGCCAGACACAGGAACAGTTTCTTCCCTCAGGCAATTCATCTCATGATCACTTAACAATAACTGTGGAACACACACTATTTATACACTCATACACTTATTTATCTAACACTCATACTCAGTCTACACCTCAAATTTGCACATAATATACAGTACCTGTACATACAAAAACTGTCTATTGTAATATACCTGCACGTACAATTGTCGATTTATATATTTTTATTCCTTATTTACTTGTTCTATTTTTTTATATTTTATTTTCTGTGTTTTTTGTTCTGTCACTGTCATTCTGTTACACTGTGGAAGCTTCTGTCACGAAAACAAATTCCTCGTATGTGTAAACACACCTGGCAATAAAGCTCATTCTGATTCTGATGTGTTGATACATGTAAGCTAGTTGTCTTTGTATTATTTGAGAGTACCCAGTCTATATCTAAAATAATATTCAATTTAGACCGCAAGCACAAGTCTGCTAAAACGTGAAGAAGTATGAAGATGTATAAGAACCATTACCAGAACCAATCTTGGGTCTCAACCCTAATGCAGAGATTGGTAAATCCCATCAAGGCCACACATACTGTTATACATTATTCATCATTCAAATAAAACTTTTTTTAAATTCTGAAGCCAAATTTCAGTTTAGATTTCAATATATATTTCCTCCTTCCATCCTTGAACATACTACCCTCAGCTCTATGTTCCGCCCATATTTACCTTAGACTGAACATCGGCATTGTGGTCATTTTGGAGCAGCAGGGCAGCAGATTTGGTGTCATCCTTGCGGGCTGCAATGTGCAAGGCAGGCAGACGTACTTTGCCCTTTGTGTCGTTCTCTAGAAGGATGGACACCACCTGATTATGGCCTTGTTGCAGTGCAATAGGAAGTGGTGTGAAGCCATCCTGCAAAAAGAAAAAAGAAAATATATATTTAAAATAATGCATTTAACCTTACATTATGCCAATAATCCTGACACCACAGTATTTGGATGCTACCTCTGTATACTTTAAGGTTAATGTTAGGGTGTAGTTTGGGGTTAGTATTTGTTACAGCATATAGGCAATCAGAACTGTGATTGACATCAGCAAAGTAATCTTTAGGATCAGCTGCGGGGCTTTTTATCAATTAAAATGATTTTTTCTTATTTTATTTTTTATTGAGCAGCAAATCAACATATTAAAATGATTTCTGGAGAATCGTATGGCACTGAAGACTGTGGAAATTCTGCTAATAGCTGCTGAAAATTCAATATTGCCATCACAAGAAAACATGACATTTTAAAATATATTCAAATAGAAAAGTGCATTCAAATAGAACACATTTTACATCAGAAAAAAAAAATCACAATAATACTGTTTTAATGTATTTTTAATCAAATAAATTTAGCCTTTGTGAAAACATAAAAAATCTTCCAAAATTTTGACAGCCGGTGTAAGTGAATGCAAATGGTTTTAGCTAATTAGAAAGAACATCTGGTTGCAATTGTAATAATAATCACATTAAGCTAAAGTTTGTCATTCTATACAGTTTTAGAAGCACTTGAACTTTTTACCTCTGTTGCAGTACTCTGGTTTCCACCATTCTCCAAAAGATACCGCACTACATCTAAATGGTTTTCTTGAGAAGCCATGTACAGAGGAGTGAATCCATTCTAGAAGAGCAGAGATTTTAAGTGTTTTTATTTATCCCCCCCTTTTACTTGGAAAACTTTTGCAGGCATAAATGTCAAACTTGTTCCTACCAGAGATTGGGCATTAATGTCTGCTCCCCTCTTGACCAGGATATTTACAGCCTCTCCTTGTCCTGCTAGTGAAGCGATATGGAGAGCTGTATTTCCTTTCTGTGAGCCAAACAAACACATTCATCATTTATTCAGTTTCTCTTAAAATCGCTTGGCACAAATGATATCAGGGATGTGCCCAAAGCCGAATACCTTATTCAGAAAGGCATGGATAATGAATTAAAAATAAATAAAAAAATAAAATAAATAAATGAATAAATAAATTATTTATGTGACAAATTCTAATTATTTACTTTGTGACAAATTCTAATAAATGACTGAACAAAAATGTTTTTTAAATACATTCACTCCTTGTTCTTGCTGGACAACAAATATGATATTTTAGATAAGCTCCTGAATTTGCATGAAATATTGAGTGTGCAATGTTATTAGCCCAACATTAGTGCAACCCAATCAGCCATGTTGCCATTTCTGTATGTGTGCTTCTATCAGAAATCAAGTGTAACGTCAACTAAAATACTGTACAATACAAATTTTTCCTATTATTTGATTTGTCTTTTAAAATATTTATTATTATTTATATTATTTAAATATTTAAAACCTTCCAAGAGAGACATATGATACAATGCTTCTCTGTCCATTTAATTAGCACTGGTGCAGTGTGGCGCTTGTCTGGTGTGTCCGGCTTAACAAAGTGCAGTAAACTCTCTCAGTTACAAAGTAGTATTGATTACAATAATAAATTAAAATAATATGATAATAACAAATACCAATTTGCAACATTAAGAAGCATAATGAACTGTTTTTGCACAGCTAAAATAACTGCAAGCGGCTGACAGCCAATGTTTTGCACATTCATGTTTAAAATGGCTGTGTCCACTCTTACATGCTGTCAATATATAAAAATTAAGAACTGAATAATTTCTACGGGTTTAGTCTTTGCATCTGTCTGTTTCAGATTTGAATCAGGTCTCCTCTGATGGAGTAGAATTGGCCAGGTGGTGGTGTCACAAAAAAACAAGGGTCCTAGAAATGCATTTAAGGGTCTTGAATTCTAGGATCACTGCGGTCTTGAAACTGCAGCCTTTAGTATTGCAAGACCTTATTATTTAACACTGGGTGTGCTGTAACAGCTTGAGGCTCTATCCTGGATCTGTCAAAAATCCAGTGTTCCACATCCATTTGTCCTTCATGTCAGAGGTAGCGTGAGCATGTGAGGTATGTCAGCAATAGAATGGGCCATTCAGTGTAGACAGTATCACTGATTATAAGGGGTTCTATTGGTTTTTGCAGTTTTTGACCAATAGGTGTGAAATCTTTTTAATTAGCACAGTTCCTTTGGAAAATAGACAAACAGACTGTACTAAAGAACTAACCCTGTATTTAGTGTCCAAATACATCCCCTGTATCTTCTGTTAACTACCCATCCATTTTGGAATCAAAGGAAAATGCTTTAGAAACAAACATACATACATGCATGCATGCATACATAAACACATACATACATAAATAGATGAATGTTCTTTTGACAATTGATTAACCCTTCAAAATAGTGATGAAAATGACTTGAGGTCAAAATGATCTGTCCATTTTTGTCCTCAATTCTTATGAGGTCAAAAAATCTGTCCACCATTCATTTAACACTTTAAAGTAGTCCACCCTTTTTTTTTTTTTTTTTTTTTTTTTTTTTACAAATATGCAGCACAATGTATTTAAAACAAAACACAAAAAGCAATTAAACTTTGAAGATATTGAAGCACACTTTAGGAGTGTGGAAGCTTCTACACAAAATTCCATAAATGATGTATTCCAAAACAGTTCACAAGGCTTTTTCATGTGCACACGTGTTGTAGCCTGGAGGAGCTTTAGTGGTCCTGCCTTTCAGCTCTTGTCATATTGACTGAAGAACTATTGCAGTCTGTCAGAGTAGGATAGCACCACCTCAAAATGACTATATTACAACGATAAAGTTGTTGTTTTAATACATCTGTACATACTTGTTGTGTATAAACATGAATTTAAGCAGTAGCATAGCCTGAAATCACAGCATGAATGTCAAGGGGACCTGACAGCCTGAAATAAGAACTGACATTCAAATGTTAATGTTGATATAGCATGATTTCCCCCATTCATTTTGTGTGTTTACAGGTGTTGGGTTGGTGATTAAAAGGTTGGGAAGTGTTGTTAATTATCAAGACTATTTTAAGCTGTCAGGAAAAAGATCAACTGTGCATGGGAGCAGGTTTGATCAGCAAATACACAAAGCCATTCATAAAAATTTCTCTCACAGACTGCCAGTGCTGCAGAGCTAGAAATAATTCGTATTTCAAGCAGCTTCACATGCTTAACAGAAAAGTGATCTACAGAGTTGCTAACATACTTTTCAAAGCACAGCATAAAGTTACACCATTATTTATTTGTAAACTTGTGTTGTAGCTTCCAGCCAGTCTCTGTAAACCTTAACACAAGTACCATTCATATTTTTCTTGAGAAACTCTACCTTGGTTGCAGAATCAACTGAAGACCCTCTGTCCAGCAGCTCCTGGACCAGCTCTATGTGTCCTTCCTTTGCTGCCAAGTGCAAAGCGTTGAGGCCATTCTATGGAGGTCATAGACAGAAATTAGTACTTCATTCTCAACCAAAAGCAAACATAAAAGGGAAGCATAATAAAAAAGATGTACAGGGGAAAGAAGACTTAAGTACCTCCTCATCCATTCCTAAGGTATGTTTTCTGTCTTTAAGAATACAAACTCAATATATGCGCATATTAAAGCAAGTTAAATGTGGCAAGACTTGTTGAATGTCAGGTTTATCCTATTAAATGAAATTTGCAGCAATTGCAGTCTCAAAAAAGCAATGTGCAGTCTAAAAAAAGTATTTTATAAAGAGGTATTAATAAAATAAGGAGTGTCACAAGCTAGCAGACGACTACTGCAGGCTATCTTAAAAGACAATCTTAAAATTATACTGACATGTGGGATCTCTTTGGCAGCCAATCACTGACACAACCTTTGATAATGCAGTGAAGTAACTAGAAATCTAACTGTCTACACCTTGCTTTCCACAACCTGATTTGGAAAGCACAGTAAGCTTTTGTTATGTCATTATTTATAGAAACACTACCTGTCAAAAGTGTGGACATGTCTTGTTCTTTTTTTATTATCATTTTCCATATTTTATATTAATAGAAAAGCAATCAAAGCAAGAAAATAACAAAGTATTGGAATTATGCGATGAATATCTAGTGATATAACGTGCATAACAGTTATAATAGTTTATAGAATAAAAAAAAAAATACATTCAACATATGCTCCTCTCAATCATATATCAATATATATCATATATCACATAATGAGTACTTCTTGAATATACTAGAAGACTGTCTTATCCAGTATAATTTGCTGAACATGTCTACATAAGAAATAAATATAAATGTAAAATTACTGCTTGTCAAAAGCCCAAGTTTGGGCTGTTATTGTACATTTTAATGGGAACATGCTAGATTAAACAGACCTGTCTGATTTAATTTCATTTAAAGGGACTTTATGTTGAATTCAAAACCCCTTGTTATTAGCGACTGGTGGCCGTTGAGTGAGTTGCAGCCAGCAAATTATTTGCTCATGGTCAATATTACCTTGACAACACTGCCTGTGCATGCAGCATTCAGCACTCCATTAGTTGTTGCAAATAAATATTTATTATTATTATTATTATTATTGTTCTTTTCTTTAAATGCTGTCTAAATGTGTCTTACTTATTATTAAAAATTTTCAAACTAAACTTGCTCACATTACTGCTTAACTAATATTTCTATCGCTGACGAAAAATATCCTTCATGTCAAATTCTTTTGATTTTATTTATTTAATTTTTTTGACGGTTTATAGCTCATTCAAGCAGTTTAACTACTTTGGTGGGGTCAAGCTCAATCTGACAGACCCTTCTGTAGACAATCTCAGATCAGCAACAACACCACGCACATCTACTATGCTACATGAAATAAACAGCATGCTAGCCAAAGGAGAAAAAAAAACAAAATGCATTCAGTACTGCAGACTGAATGGTCATGTGCCTGCTGTTACCCTCATGGCAAAAATTTATCAAAGGAATTTGGATTCATCAAATGGTTTAATAAGTGCATGGAGCAATGGTTACTAAATATATTGGCATATATAATCTAAATGGTTTGACTAATTTAAATTATTTTGATAACTTTTTGTCATCAGTGTCTGTAGATGCTACATGCAAAATGTCTTATGAATCAGTCAAGTGGAGATCGAAAAATAAGTTTTTGCCAACTCAAAATGGCCGATGGATTACAATGTGTTGTACTAATGTTGTCTACTAGAGGGAACCACAGGATAATAAATCAATTGAGATTTATATTGAGCGATGAAGGATGTAATACTAATGTTGTCCAAAAGAAGGAGGCACAAGACAAATTATTTTAGTAGTTTAAAATCTGTGTAAATGGTTGAAAAAGACTAACTTTGCATAACATGCATTATAGTTTCATAGTTAATGTGCCTACTTACCACACTAGGCACACACTGTTGCCATAGCAGAGCTGTTAACAAGCGAACATGCTTTGCATGAGGTACAGTAGGCACTTGATAATAGAGCACCTAAAATAGCAACAAACTCTCTGGGTGCATGATGAAGCACCAAGAAATCAATGGCAATCAGTGGCATGAAATAGTCAAAATTTGGTCTTTCAAAATACTAAACTCAGCAAAAACAAACAAACAAAAAAAAACTGGGTGCTGTATTTTAAAAGCTAATTTTGTAGCTAATTTTCTCGAGACTTCAGTGGCAGTCCGAGACACTTCTGTCTTGCATGAGGAGATTGTTGTCCTATTGGCGAAGGATGCAATCGAGCCTGTCCCTCCAGTTGAGATGAGGAAGGGGTTTTACAGACCTTACTTCATCGTACCCAAGAAAAGCAGAGGCCTTCGACCAATTTTGGATCTGCGAGTCTTGAATCGGGCCCTTTACAAGCTCCCGTTCAGGATGTTGATGCAGAAACGCATTATCAAATGCGTTCAAGCCCAGGATTGGTTTGCAGCGATTGATGCGTACTTTCAAGCCTTGATCCTTCCTCCTGGCAGCAACAATCACAGCCATTATGGGTTAAGACATGTTTTTGGGGGGTGGTGAATAATGATGCAAATACCAGTACATTCACTCCCCCCACCTACAATCCCTGCCGGTACGAAACTCAAACCCACAACCTTTGGGTTACGAGTCCGACTCGCTAACCATTAGGCCACGACTTCCCCAAAACAATTTATGTACATTGTGCAAAATGTGCAGCGAGGAGCCAATGCAAAAGCTTACAGTCTGGGATGTGAGAATATAGCAGCCGGAGTTGTGAGTGTTAATGTAACCCGTGTGAAACAACGCAAAGCCAGTAAGGAGAGGTGCGAAACAGGAGGAAATGAAATCCAGTAGTTACAGAGCTGTGTACTAACAACATTAAGCATGCCTGGACTTATCTGTCGCGTTTACATTCCCAGACTCGACTGGAGAAAAACTACTCTGCCATCATGCGTTCAGTCAAAGTTTTTGGCAGAAATGGCTGTGTACGACGTTGGTGATTATAATGAACAGTAAGGCTAATGATGGTTCACCCGCAGGTTGATGGAAAAATGTAACAACGTGATTATTCAGATGCCGAATGGATGTTTTAGCTTCACAGGCCTACAATTTTAATGCAGCTTTAACTTCTAAGTGCAGCTGAGTAAACGGTTGCCTTTGTCAATCAGAGTTGAGTCCTCTAACAGGGACGAGAGATTTTAATTAGATTTCAGGAGCGGAGGTGATAAACTGATCGATGATAACGGTACCTGTGGGCTTATCTAAGTGTGTTAGACGCAAACTTCTGTCACTCTGGTAGAAACTGCCATTTTACGCAGATCTGAAATATACCGTTTTACATGTCATGGATTTATTGTGGATGGCTCATCAGTATGAAAACTTCTTCAGTGATTGCCAGCTGCAGCTTTATCAGCACCTTAGAGGATGTGAATCATCACAATGAAGCATCAGCTTTGTACTTGAGAAATGGATTTTTGCATTCCCGCAGAAGTGTGACTGTATTTGTATGTGCGTGTCAAAGTGTGATATCCATGTGATATACAGTTGCAAATCAATTTCATTCCATTTCCATCTATCTCTTTTCCGCTAAAGAAAGGTGGTCATACAGGTTTGGAATGACATGAGGGTGAGTAAATGATGACAGAACTTTCAGTTTTGAGTAAATTATCCCTTTCAGACTAAAATATTAATTATATATTCTTCACCTAAAAAAGTGCAATCTCAGAATCAGAATCACGTTTATTGCCAAGTACTGTATGTATACATGAATGAGGAATTTGTCTTGGTAAATTGTAGCTTAACAAAGACAATAGAAAAACAAGAATAAATAATAGAACAATGAGACAAACCATTTTAAAATAAGACAAATAAAAGCTATACAATAAGAGCAGAAAAAAATCAGGAGGATAAAAATATAAAATACAAAATGAACATTAACTCATACATTTGTGTAAAATATGTAAAGTGGGGGAATGCAAATGTTCACAGTTGAAACTTAAATTGTACATTTCTGAACATTGTGCAAACTGTGCAGCGAGGAGCCAGTGCAAAAGCTTACAGTCTGGGATGTGAGAATATAGCAGCCGGAGTTGTGAGTGTTAATGTAACCCGTGTGAAACAACGCGTGTGTGTGTGTGTGTGTGTGTGTGTGTGTGTATGGTGTTTATTTTTTTATTTATTTATTTTTATGTGAAGTGTAATGTCCATGGGCGTGAGCAAGAAGCCCTGATGGGACATGGCTATTGTTGATAAGGACAGTTGCAGATGGAAAGAAACGTGAGGTCCAGGTCCTGATGGACCGCAGTCTTCTGCCAGATGGGAGTGCTTCAAAATGTTTGTCCATGGTGAGAAGTGTCAGCCATGATCTTAACCGCCCGCTTCAGGGTCCTGGAAGTGTACAGGTCCTGAAGAGATGGGAGGTTGCATCCGATTACCTTCTCAGCAGAGCAGATGAAACATTGCAGTCGGCCTTTGTCTCTGGCAGTAGCAGCAGCATACCAGATGTTGATGGAAGTGGTGAGAATGGACTCAATGATGGAAGTGTAGAAGTGAACCATCATTGTTTTTGGCAGGTTAAAGTTCTTCAGCTGCCTCAGGAAGTACATCCTCTGCTGTGCTTTTTTAATTAGAGAGCTGATGTTGAACTCCCACTTGAGGTCCTGGGTGATGATTGTGGCCAGAAAGTGGACAGAGTCCACAGTTTCTACCGAGGAGTTACACAGGATAATGGGGGCAGGTGGGGCTGGGTTCTTCTTGAAGTCAATCACCATCTTCACTGTTTATACAGCATTGAGATCCAGCTTGTGCTGATTGCACCAGGTCACCAGATGGTCAATCTCCCACCTATAGGCAAACTCATCTCCATCAGAGTGTCAGTGTCAGTGTCATCCGCAAACTTCAGTAGTTTGACAGACTTGTGACTGGAGGTGCAGCTGTTGGTGTACAGGGAGAAGAGGAGAGGAGAAAGAACACAGCCTTGAGGGGAGCCAGTACAGAAACATGT